GGGCTTAGTTTGTAAATCTTGACGAAGGGCCTTCGCTCGAAACGTCGAATTTCTGCTTATTTTTTAAGGTAGTAATATAACCACTCAGCACAGCATTTTCACTTTCAAGGGTACTACCAACACTGGTACAGACAGTTTTAGTATTGACAAGTAAAATTGTCTGGTGTTAGACAGAGTAAAATAATAAAGTAGGCCACATCAGGGTGCAATGAGACTCAATGGGTTAAATATATCATCATCTGTGGCATGTGCTGATCAATAATATATGACTTCAAATGTGACTAGTATGTCCCAAAGGTCGCGGGTTCGATTCCTACCATGGTCAGCTTGCCCGATGTGGATGCACACTTGGATTAATACCACAAACATTGAAATGTGACGTTAAATTTTTTCTCATAGGAGTTAAATTAGATGTTAAAAGTTGTGAAGCTCTAGAAGAAATATTTAAGAGAGTTCGAGTTCACATGTTAGATGTTGAAAATACAAATTTAGAAGATGAGGTATGGTATAAAAAATGTTTCAATGTTATTGTCCAATCAAGAAACAGCATTTGTACCATGTGACGAGGAGATTCCTGCTGTATTCCACCCTAGCTTTGCCACATTTCTTTGTGTGCAGTAAGAAACTTCCCATTCTTTGTAGCAATTTGTCAATACTTTCATTATAAAATATAATTTATATAATTATAAACACAAGATTCCTCAGATAATAATATCATCAAACAGGATAATACTGTATTTCTCTTATGCTCTGGCTCTACAAATGTTTTGTTACAGCTAAATGGAAAATTTAATCAATGTATTCTTGGTGTTAGATGAATGAATATTTTAGAAATAATTATATTCACTGGAGGATTTTATAACAGTATAAATTTTATGAAAGCCATAGGAACTTTGAATCTTCAGTTGGTAAAAACCTTTCGGTCCTGGATAGATTTTGATAGCTAAGTGTACTATATGTTAGTAACTGATTTTCTAACTTTCTAGGGGGCTATTGCAATAATAGAAATGATTGAATTCTATCAATCTGCTCTTCATATCTGTATTGGATACAATCCGAGAATCAAAACACGAGGATGGCAAATATTTAGTCAGATGGTTAGAAAAGTGAGTACTGAAGGATTTGTGACCCAAATATTACCATGAGACTTTGCCTACAGTAGTGTTGGCAACAGTATATATAGTATAGTAATAATGGTTTAATAATAATAATAAAGGTTGAGATTTGACTTCCACTACCATTAAGGAACCATCGTCCATCAAGCAATCAGTTTTATATATCACGCCCCTCCTGTAAATCAGCTTTTAGTTGTGCGAGGCTAGCGTGTTTTTGATTTTAAATAAAATTGATTGATGATGATGATGAGATGCATTTGATATATATTCTATTGACCAATCGAATATGTACTACAGTAAGCCAGTGTGAGGTGCGGCAGTCAAATCTGAAGCTCTATTACAGTGCAGTTAACATGTATATTTGTGAGTGTTGTAGAGCAGCAGGGTCTGAAATTTAAGATTGTTTTCAGTATCACATTGGGTACCGGTATTCAAAGTTCTAGTATCCCTCCTGAAATTCTAGTATCCCACTCTAGATACAGGTTACCATATGTTTTGGCATAGTAAGTTTCTGTAAGTACTGTAAGTTAGATACATGTCTCTCATTGTTACAAACTACAATAACAACCAGAGACTCAACAGTCAACAAAATTCTAGAAATGGACCAACTGAAGTTGTATCATGAATGATTTATTTTGATGCACATGAACCTTGGGAAATATTCTAGTTTTCAATATGGAAATGATAATGGTTCAGATTATCCTAATGGTTCAGATTTTATATACAAGTCATTCACAGTTTATCAAAAACCAAATTTTAGTATCCTGTTGGGATATGTGAATATGGGGATCCATACTTCTCCTTTTGGAATTCAGGCTATGCAGGGTACTGTAGGTCTTGATAAACAATATTCATGAGTTTTTTTCTGTGTTGTTATTGTTAATTACTCAGGTGAATATGATGTTTGTGATGTTACTCTGAGTGTATATCCACACCGGACAAGCTTGAAAAATATGCCTGGCCACGGTGGGAATCGAACCTACGACCTTTGGAATACTAGCACAATGCTCTGCCAACTGACCTGGCCGCGTAGCTCAAAATGTGTTTTAAATGTTTTCGTTTTATTTCCAACGTTATAATTTCGTTTTAAATACGAACCAAAGACCATTTGTATTTTCAAAAACAACAACAATGAAAATGGCGGGAAATTTTCGAACTTCGTATGTCACTCGCAGGGGTGAAATACGGAAAATACGCGCACCTGGTCCTGGATGTAGTGACGTATGAGTTCTACGAGTGTTTTAGTTTCCAGTAAAACACCATTGTCCATATAATAAATAGTGTATACTCGAGTCTATACTATAGTCTATATGTATGCAGTATTTGTGCGAATGCATATAGTGTATAGTATATATAGTATATTGGCTATTACGTTGAATAAGGTCAATACGATAAATTATTGTATGATGTTTGTTGTAATTTGCGCGCTATGTATTCGTTTTGAATTAGGTTTTTGAATTCGTTTTCAACAAGGTTCTTAAAGAACTAGGCAACACAATAAATTATTGTATAATGTTTGTTGTAATTTGCGCGCTATATATTTGTTTTGATTATATAATGTTTGTCTTTCTGAAACGAGAGAGATTGGTACAAAGTGTACCGATGGTAGAAACAATACCAGACCGTCCAGACGCATTGATGAAAATGATATCATGTTTCTCTGTAAACCACAGGTAGTGGGTAAGCCAAATATTGGCATCGAATTTACCGATCGTAATACACTTTTTACCATGCGTTACATATCGTAATATTGGACAAGTATGAATTATACCCCCAAAAGCAAGAAATTATAATGAAGTTTTTCGCTGAATTGTGCACTGTGACTTATTTCAATACATCGAAATCATCCCGCCAAACATCTCTCTTATTCATCAAATTGCGCATGCAGCCTTTGATCCCTTCGGGGGTGATGCTGCACTTTCCTTGCGATAGTAATTTCTAGTTTCTAAACTATCCTGGTATATTTGTAACAGGCTCAATTTGTTGAATTTATTGATCTTCGCCATTGTTGCTTCAATGATCCTTGTACTGCTGTTATGGCTCGTTCATTAAAATTGAATACAACTTTGAGAATTCTTCACCTAGAAGGAGATAATTTATCTGGAAAATTGTTACTCATATTATGTAAGTTACTTTCTACTGTATCTCAAACGCGAGGGTCCTAATGTAGGTTGTATTCTACAATGAGCTTCTGTTTCTGACCTGCGTGAAAAATATCACAAACATGGGGGTCCAGGAAATCTCGTACTGTACCTAGAGTATGCCCGTTCACAGGGTTAGGTGCTGGGCATGCCCACCATGAGTACGAGTTAGGACTGCAGGTGGTATTCTACCATCAGCTGTCATGGATTGTGTCTAAACTACATGAAAAAGATATAAAAAAGATATCTGTCACATAAAAATTGTGTAAATAACGTAAACCTAAATACATTATCAAGTCGAATGTTAATTTTTTAGGTACAGGAATCAAATTTAATCAATCTATAAGTGAACTATTCCTTGGAGATAATTTTTTGGTCCCGTCTGATGCGAGCACTCTATCAGCCATGTTGAAATCAAATACAACCTTACAGTTATTGGATGTCAGGAATAACATGTTGCAAGTAAGCTGCCATTTTGCCACATTTCAGTGATTTTATACACCAATTATACATTGTAACAAATTTTCTCATACAAATTAGGACCAAGGAGTGCTACATTTGTGTGATGGTTTAACTCAGCAAAAATCATCAGGAGTTAGGACGTTGGTTCTATGGAATAATCAGATTACGCGACATGGCATGATTCCAATGGCAAACCTTCTGGTAAGTTTGGGATAATAATATATAGTCAAGTTTTAATATATACGTCCGTGTTCTATGTTTGACCTGGTGTGTCCAGTTAGATACAGTCTACTGTATACACTACAGCCGTGTTCTATGTTTGACCAGGTGTGTCCAGTTAGATACAGTACTACTGTATACACTACAGCCGTGTTCTATATTTTTGTCCAGTTAGATACAGTACTACTGTATACACTACAGCCGTGTTCTATATTTGACCAGGTGTGTCCAATTAGATACAGTACTACTGTATACACTACAGCCGTGTTCTATATTTGTCCAGTTAGATACAGTACTACTGTATACACTACAGCCGTGTTCTATGTTTGACCAGTTAGATACAGTACTACTGTATACACTACAGCCGTGTTCTATGTTTGACCAGGTGTGTCCAGTTAGATACAGTACTACTGTATACACTACAGCCGTGTTCTATGTTTGACCAGGTGTGTCCAGTTAGATACAGTACTACTGTATACACTACAGCCGTGTTCTATGTTTGACCAGTTAGATACAGTACTACTGTATACACTACAGCCGTGTTCTATGTTTGACCTGGTGTGTCCAGTTAGATACAGTACTACTGTATACACTACAGCCGTGTTCTATGTTTGACCAGGTGTGTCCAGTTAGATACAGTACTACGGTATACACTACAGCCGTGTTCTATGTTTGACCAGGTGTGTCCAGTTAGATACAGTACTACTGTATACACTACAGCCGTGTTCTATGTTTGACCTGGTGTGTCCAGTTAGATACAGTACTACTGTATACACTACAGCCGTGTTCTATATTTGACCTGGTGTGTCCAATTAGATACAGTACTACGGTGTACTCACAGGAAAAATTAAAATGCGCGAGCGCTTGCTCGAATTCATGCAGTTGCATTTTAGAATTTCGTTAAAAGACTCGATCCGTAAACTTTATCTAAATAATCGATATTACTAGGGTACCAGCAAGGTAGGGATTGCTGTGGGCATTAAAAGGAAATAGAACTACACTACAAATTAGATCAAGCACAGTGACAGTGATTAAGCCATGCAAGACCAGGGGTTAAAGAGCAATCACAAGGTGTACAGGTAAATTAATTATATAACACAAGTTTTTGCTATCCGATTTCATATCAAGTCTGTTTACTGCTAGGCACATTTACCACATTATATACACAGATTTATTACACTAAGAAACCAAAACTTTATAAAAATATAGAACTGACAGTGGCCAAAGTCCATTAAGTGAACAACGCACGAAAAAAAGAACGAAGAAAGGAAATTAAAACACCTAATCGTTTTGAACGAAGGCCTTTCAATAATTGTGCTTCCACGTGAATATTAAAACGTCCAAATTCGAATTAAGGATAAAATTGGATAAAAGAAAGAAACGTATCTGATTAATTAAGTGATTATCAAAATATTTATCAACATATAGACCAATTGCGAAACTTAGTGGCCGCGCCTTCATACTGCACGAGAACGAGGCTTATTATGCAAAAACAAAACAATTTCTATATTTTTACATAGCGAAAAGTGAATTTTAGGGTTTTTAAAGTGTTTTTTCTTGAATCTCTTTGATCTTTTCTTAATATTTCGTGCTAGGTTATATAAATATTTGTTAAATTTATCTAAACATCGATTTCCCACTATATTTTTACCCGCTTTGGAGAGATATTTCGTTGTTGTTTTAGCATGCGATGGGACCAACATATGGAAAAGATCAATCTAGACTTTAAAATCTGATCAAGATGCAAATAAAATAGCCAGTATAACTTAACAAACTAAAATATAACTCTTTCTACCCAGATTTTTTTAGACTTCGTGCGAGAAAAAAACGATTTTGTCAAAGGATAATAACATAAAATTTCTACAAATTTTGCCCGACATTTACTTTCATATTTTTAAAGTTAAAATGGAAAACTTGCTATTATATTACAACTGAAACAAAATTTAATCAATGTTACAACTTATTCTTTGAAAAGTATTAATAAAACAGACGGAAAATACCTGATTCTTTCTCTGGTATAATCTGCTTCTTTTATCGGACGGCGAAAAACAGCAAAACTTTGCCTCCCACGCCGCAAAAAACAATGAAATTTGAAGTAAGACTAAATCTATGAACAAGTTTAATAAAGATTTACATAGTCAAAACAAAAATATTGAAAAAAAATGAAGAGATTACCATAAAAACGCGTCTCAAACACTGAAATTCATTTTTCGCCATATAAAAATATAGCAGAATGATTTGTTTTTGCATAATAAGCCTCGTTTTCGTGCAGTTGAAGGCGCGGTCACTAAGTTTCGCAATTGGTCTATGTTTTTATAAAGCAAAGCAGAACTATCTTGCTCCGAAATTGTGCTGAACAGTGAATTGAATCACTGTAAACCTAATATGTCTTTACATGTCTTAATGTCTAGGAACGCAAGGTTCCACGGCGCGGAAACACCACGGAAAAATAGGTTACTGCGCATTTCCGATCGCGCATGACCACAATGCACCGCGCTAGAATGTTTTAGATAAAAATCCCCACTTAGATCTGCTGCGTCGCTCGCTCGCTTCCCCAGCAATTAAAACTACAAGGAACTGATTATAATATTTAGCTCTCAAAACCTAAAATACACAGAAAATATCTTTTACAGGGCGATCTGACAAAATGTCCGATGACTTTGAGTTTGGATCGGACATATGTATGATGATGTCAGTTTGGCTCCAAAATAAGTCTGAATGACACATATTAATATCAGCACAATGTGTTAATTCTGAACTAAATTTTGTGAAGATATTAAATAGTTTCTGTCATTCATACTTATTTCCAAGCCAAGATTAACTTGCTTCCCAATAATAGCAGCACGACATCGACAATTTAAGCCCGTTTTCCATTTCGCTCGCCGCCCTGCGCTCGATCACATTGCTAAAAACATTTCCAGCCTCTAGTCCTGGACTAGGGTACATTTTGATTTACGTGCGTGGAGAAAGCGTCATACAAAGCTACAGTTCGGTCGGACACCAATTCACTCGGGTCGGACAAAGAATAAACCTCAGTTTCACTTAGGTTGGACAGAATGTCCAGTGGTTTTCTCTCTATACGTCGGACAATTTGACGAATGGGTCGGACAATGTCCGTGACCGACCGATGTTTCAAGGCCTGAAAATACGATGAAATTATGAATTTGCTCCCACCATTAAATAATATTAATGCAGTCCTGTATACAAATTGGAGCCGGAGGCGAGTGGTTAAATAAATCTTATACAACTTCGTTGAAACTTCGTATAGCTTGTGATTCGTCATGATAGCGTATTCTTCTGTTTCAAGATATAGTATGAATAATAATAAATATGCGTGTATAATGATCCAGTATTTCTCCAAATGGTCCTTACTAGTCTTGTTGCCCAGTTTTCATAGCAATTTATTATTTTTAGGCAATAACACAAAACATTCAAACATTAAATATTGGCCACAACCGATTAGGAAATGATGGCATTCGCAATCTACAAATAGGACTGTTGAAAAATAGATCTTTACTAAGACTTGGATTATTGAATACAAAGATAACAGCAGAAGGTAGGTTTAGTACTAATATTGTTTCATTTATTGCAAGAGTCATGGTTTGATTTTTGAACCAGTCCAATGTCTGGTTAGATCTAGGGCGGATTTTCATTTTTTTAAAGGAGGGGTGCAAGCGGTGAATCATCAATCCTGAGCTAATTGTTTTAGTATAATTTCAGTATTGAAAAAGTTTTATTTATATGTACTATTCAAAACACGAGTAGGAGTGTTTTATCAGATATAAAACGCGCAGCCTTAGAGTATAAACATGATCTTAATAATTTCACAGAAGTACATTCCCAATCATTACATTGATGGGAATAAGTTCATTAAATATCAAAGTACGATTGACTAACCCTTATTACTACAATTTCAGTATTGAAACAGACTACTCTGAGCAGTAACTATTGCTTTTCCAAAATTTGGTTGAAAATCAGACGGAAGTAAATTAATTATGCAAATTATATTCATAAAATAAACAAGTGTATTAGGGGCCGACCATTTAACTTTTGAGGGGGGGGGGGTGATTTTGAAAAAAAATTTCCTGCAAGGCTATTCTGAACAAAAAAATACCTGCATTAACAAACTGGGGAAAAAATATCCTGCCCCAGTATTTGGTGGGAAAAAATTTTGCAAAACAGCATGGTTGCAGGGATCGATTTGACCAGTCCGAGAAGATCAGCTGGTTTGATTTTCAGGGACTAGTGTAAGGTTAATTTCTTGTTGGAAAACTCCTCAAAATACTGGAAATAGCTTATCTGAGCTTCAAAAATTCCAAACTTTTCTGGGGGGGGGGCATGCCCCCAGACCCCTCTAGAGGCTCGCACCTTCGGTGGTCGACTCAGTTGTCTCAGAGTCCTAGTTAAGCATGGCCTGAGCTGCTGCCCTATGACGTATACTTATTAGTTAAACCATGCATACATATGCTGTAGGTAGCTGCAGTGATACAGACAGGGCTGTAGCGAGGGGGGTATTGGGGGGTGGTTAACCCCCCCCCCCAACTTTTTTAGAATCAACATATTCAGAAAATTGGGTTGGCCATTCGGAAAATTACGGCAATAATAGTAGAACAAAATTTTAGTTGTTAAACAGAGAAAATATTATAAAATTGTATTGTCACTATAAATTGTAAGCAAATTGTAAATTTCGACATACTAACACGCTTTTTTCTGACCATCAGCATTCTGTCAAAACTTCCCCAAAGTCCAGGAAATGGCATTTCAGAGACTCGAAATTTCAAAATTTCCTCGGGCCTCCGGCCCGAGCTGTAAATAAACAAAAGCTCCCTACCGCACTGCTTCTGTAATATGTCTGCGCGTAAAATATGCGTATTTTTGTTTGTAAATTGCGTCTTCATTTTGCGAATAGCAAACACCTTCGTGGCTTAGTATGCCATGATATATTCGGAAATTTTTTTCGTCATTCGGAAATTTTTGGCCTACACCCCCCCCAACTATACATGCTAGCTACGGCCCTGAATACAGACTTGCCGACTGGAACTTCTCCAGGTCCCCCGCTAATTATGTCCTCTCCAGTTACACATCCTTAAAAAAGGCCCTGAACCAAATGTTATACCTCATAGCAATATGTATCATTAAGAGCAATGCATGAAGCTAGAAAACTCAACGCTAACTATAATTAAAGAATCTAAATAGTATAAGCTATTGAAAAAAAAATGCTGCGAAAGAAAGTGTGGCAAAAAAAATCGTACATGGTGATGGGATAAAAAAAAATATCTTGCACATAACGATCCCAGAAAAAAATTCCCTGCCAGCAGTAAATCACCCCCCCCCCCCCCTCAAAAGTTAAATGGTCAGCCCCTTAATTGTATTAAAAATACTCATTAATAATTCATAAACCATTAATAATTTTTAATATGTCACGTGGAGTGACTTTATATCTGATAAAACTCATCTTCATTAGTATTCTTTATATAATTGTTCATCCTATAATTAGTATGATTATATAATTGTTCATCCTAAGTTTTATCAGACATAAAACGCTCGTGTGCATGTCCGCATGACCACAATGGGAATCAAAGCTGCGACTGTTTGCTAGTTCAAAGCACCCGCACTGCGATCAAGCAAACTTTTCATCTTGCACGGTATGGACACGATCAGAATAACTTATTTCTGGTTTAATTTGTTTCACTAGGTGCAGTCGCACTTGCTGAATATGTTGCTGACACTAGGACTTTATTAAGAGTTGATCTTCGTGAGAATGATCTGTTTGTTGGAGGTTTAATGGCACTCACTTTAGCCGTGAAAATAAATGAAACTGTTGTGAGAATTGATCTTGATAAAGACCTCAAAAAAGAACAGGTTGGTTGATAGAATCAAGGGGAGATTAGCCCCACTGCATTACCGTGCGATGCCCTGATGGACCCCCCGATTCTCTACTATTGTAGGGGCTCAGGAAATCTGGTAAAAAAATATAACAACCGGCTGGCCCAAAAAAAGTACTCCTCTTTGATTCAGTATAACTTAAAAAGTAAAAGAGCTCTTACATTTAAACAAGAGGTACTGTATTCAGTAATGTCTAACTTAAAGTTTGGTATATACCATGTGCATTTTAATACAGTATTGACTGAGATAACTGCGTTTAAATTTGAGTTAACGTTTCTGGAAATGTTGAAAATTAGCGAAAAACTGCCTATTAAATGTTAATACCACAATAACCTGCATGTGTGTGGGTAATACTGCAGTCGAAAAGTATTCGTTTGTTTTCCAAATAAAAATGCTATTCATTAGCAAATGCATGTCCCCCAACAAGAAATGCAATTTCTTACCCTTGTGGGCATGCAGTTGAAGGAATTTCGGATCATCTGGGGATCCAGGTTGCGATATGCTGTTACATGCAATTGCTCACAAAGCTCTCTAAAATTATTTGGTTGTTGATCATGTGGTACATTCCAAATTCGATGCTTCAAGTAGCCCCAAAGAAAAAAATCGCACACCGTCAGGTCAGGAGAACGAGGGAGCCAAGGCGAATCACCCTTTCTACTCATCAGTCGACGTCAGCCAGGAAATTGCCCCCGAAGATATCGAATAGTTGCGGTACTGCTTGTCAAAATTAGTTTAATAGGCCGTTGTTTGCTAATTTTCGACAATTTTGAAAATGTTTACTTATTTTCAAACCAAATGTCTCGGCCAAAACTATATTAAAATATACATGGCATATACCAAAGTTTAAGTTAGACATTACTGAACTACTTACTCTTTTAATTTTTAAGTTATACTGAATCAAGGAGGACAACTACTTTTTTTGGACCACCCGGAAGATGGAACTTGTAAAAATTGACTTTAATTCAAAATTCAAGTCAAACCACAGGGAAATTTGGTTGTAACAATACCAAAACTACAGTTTCATAGCTAACTTTATTATTTACTACGTTTATAATCTAAACAAAATATTGCAGTTTTAGTGAACAGATATGTGCATATTGTAGGTCATTGATTCGACGGTCAAGTTTCAGATTGCGTTTTAGAACTTGCTTTAATGATATCAAAATGGTGCTATAACGTTCTAAAGCCCAGTCGCACTGATGATGCTAATAATCATTGGCTTCACATTTTGCTAATATGTGAGGGCTGGGCATGATTGCAAGTGAATTCTATTCTGGGCAACTAATTTTCATGTCTAACTTGCCCTAATCACAACTGAGTAGGCGCTATATATACTTTTTATTACTCCTCAGGGAATGGAAGGAACACAGACGTCGCTCCTCGTTGACATTTATCAATATTTAGAAAGAAATAAGAAATTGGGAATTGAAAGAGAGGAATTGAGACGTAAAGAACTGGAGCAACAGAACACTGCTCATGACGTCACATCAAATGAAAACGTTGATGACTTACCCACTGATGACGTCAGAACACACGAGACCATTGATGGTACACCTTGTGATCACGTAATTTTAGGGAATGACAACACTGAAAAAAGTTGTGAAGAGGATGAAAGGAAATATTCTGAAAATACTGTTGATGATCGGAGTTCACGGTTTATTGTGAGTCCAGTACGTGATGACACGGACATCTTGTGTAGCGAAATTAATGAAGAAACCGATGAAGGTTTTAACATTGATGACAATTTACTGACGGAGGCAGCTGAGCCTAAGGTGGATACAATCAGCGAAACAAACCAAATTTTGAATGAAGCAGATAACGTTGAAGGTACAGTACTCTACACTATTATACTGTAGGATATTATATAATGGCCCTCATATACCCAGGCTCTTTTGTCACTAGAGTGTGAGAGAAAATAGTGAAGAGGTTGGTTTATATATTGAAATTTTTCTATTTAGAAATCTCTGATCCAGAAGAATTTGACAAAGAATTAGACGAACTTTTAGCAAATGTTTCTGGAGTGAAAATTGATTTATCTGATTTACCAAAACAAGATGAAACAGAAGGTGAGCCATAAGCAAAATAGATTCCGGATTCTTTATTTCGATCTTTTGTGCTTGAACAAATCGTATTTCTCATTTGTAGAATTCTGGAATAAAGATATGAAGGAGTTATTGGAATCCACAGCGAGTTGAGGTTTTGAACTCCTACTTCTGAAACCTCAATTTCGTATGACACAATGATTTGTAATTGTATTTTAAAATGTCTAAACTTTCACAAGTACAAATAGAAAAAACGGTGACAATTGTGAAACACTTCTTAATACAAACTTTTACGTGAAATAAATTAAATCAGCAGCCAGTACGACATTGCTGGCATGCAACATGCACATATTTCATTGATGGATGAGGAAAAGCTATAATTACGTCTGCTGCTCATCTGTTGCTCGGCAGGTTGTGACAATGAAAGTGTTTCTAAAATATTTCGGTCTCAGGGTTTGGCCATTCTTGGCCACTTCTGGAATTCTTGAAAAAGCAACAAGAAATGGTGAAAAACTAAACGGGTTAGACTTTATATTCTGTGAGAGGTTAGGGACTGCTCATTATTTAATGTACAGGGGGAGACTGAGGAGAAACTCTACAGTTATAATATTTTTTCGTTGCCCCCCTCTTAAGACAAGTAAAATTTTCAAAGCCCCCCCCCCCAACAGGCAAAACAAGAACATAAATTTTGGCCCCCCCTCTAGCTCTTTATCTTTATTTAGAGAAACAAAAACTCTAGCTCTTTATTTAGAGAAACAAAAATAGATAATGGGGACCAATAGACAATTCCCATTATAGACTAATTTTTTATCTTAGCAAAAAAAGTATATTCCCGGGAAGGGCTTACTAAAATTAGTAAAATTGCAAAGTTTGGTTGCAAAATGTTGTAAAATGTAGAAAATAAGACTTCCAAAGTTTGCAAATTTTGTATACTTTTGTATTGCAATTTTCGCATGCAATACAAAAGTATACAAAATTTGCAAACTTTGCAAGGCTATATTTTCCGTATTTTACAACATCTCGCAACCAAACTTTGAAATAATTTACTTATTTTAGTATGCTCTTTCTAGCAATGGTGATTTATTTGCATCAAGGCCGGATTTTGAGGGGAGGTGTGGAGAGGTGCGCACCTCCCCTGAGATCGTTTTGCACCTCCCCTGAGAATTTTTCCACCTCTCCTGAAAGGTCATGCACCTCCCATTGGGAAAGTTTCAATGATGGAACAAAGTGAAAATGTGATGGTTGCTTAGGATCTACACTTCGTGACGTAAGAAAGTTTTCTCTGTAAAATTGAAACAGTGATAGCCATTCATCTCTGTGTCAAGTACACTTTTAATGCAATGTTTTGAAAGAAACTTTGTAGCAATTGTAATGAAGGGCAAGATTGGAGTCATACAGTCATAATTCATTAATACACTGGTACATATGTACACTACATGCATACCTCACCTCGTTGATATTGGCCTGTTCTACAATAAGCCCTAACTTTTCATGGGAGTTGTGAGCTAGACCGCTGCACCTCCCCTAAAATTTTTGTCCACCTCCCCCACTATTTTCACCAAAATCCGGCCTTGATTTGCATCTCTTTGCCCAATTATAAAATTAGTCTATAATTGGAATTGTCTATTTACATGAACATAAGATACTTTTTATGTTTGTGATACATTTTTCAAACTACTAATGTTTTTTCAAACTGGTAAATCTTTTCAAAGCCCCCCTTCTTTCGTCTCTCTGTATTTTTTCAACCTCCAATTTCTCCTCAATCCCCCCTGTACAATAAATAATATGAGCGGTCCCTTAGATCTTATATTCGGTCAGCCTTCGCATTTTTACCATTTTTCCAGACCTCTCAACTTTGCAGAGAAGTTAAGAGTGAGATTTGGGATGTGGATGACACCTTTGTAAAAGTCCGGGGGTCTGAAATGGCATTTCGTACATTATGAGAGTTGGTGTTTTTTAATGAAATACATTGCTTCATAACGTCCTTTAAGACAAGGCAATTAGTTATAATAACTGTATTTCTGCGACATACAGTAATGAGCTTTAATTTGCCTTTGATAATTTACATATAGAATTCTGCTCCGACTGATTCTGCCTTTTGTCCGCCGTATTTACATATGCGTACTATTTTGTATCCATGCAAATTGCGGGCAAAAGCCAAAATGTCGGGCCATATATGCAGGAACAATAACACGCGATTATATATTCGATTTGCAATCCGTATAATGATTAATAATGTGCATTTATTAAGAATACAATATATTATTGAAAAAATACTATGAAACTGCTATATGCGTGAGATTAACTAATCATGGCGTGTGAGAGTGAAGCGAATTGCGTGAGACTCACGCCGAATGCGTGAGAGTTGAGAGGTCTGCACACACCAATGAGCAGTTTTGTCAACAACATTAAGGACATCTTCTATTGTTCCAAACACATCTTCTAGAGTTCCAGCAAGATCCAAAATAGTTTCTAAATTGCTATCTGAAAAAAGCTTTCGAGCTTCCTCAACTGTTGAGGCATTCTTCAATGTATTAAGAAAGTTTCTTAACTCAAAATCAGTTACAGAAGCTTTCAGCACAACTTTTGTCAAGGCATCATAAAGAGGTTCCCCAAAACACTTAGGACCAGCACCACCATGAACTATTGACATTGCACTTAGCTCGCCAGCATGGAAGTAATAGTCATCAGTGAGGTAGTTAGAAATACTAGACAAATACTTCTCTCTTTCAGTACTGCATAACAACTGAGAACTTACCATCCACTTCATGAGAGTAAAGAATTCCCTCACTGGGCCCCCTGAATCAACTGCCCCTTCTGCAATTCCCACATCATCAGTAAACTTAATAGAAACCTTGTGTGCCGGAGAAAATGACTTTCTGTTAAGACCTCTTACAGCTCCTTCCCAAACATGACTTCAGCAAATATTAAACTTAGATGTCATGCAGTGATTGCTTATCATTATTTACTTTATTAATCTCTTCTGTCTGTTCCTGAACATTTTCATTCTTGGAATCACTCCAAAGCACTTGCTCATCAAAGAGCAATGATGCATACAAACAAATCATAATTACTAGGAAGCCATGTATTAGACCAGGAACCGTTCTCAAATGAGACACCATTACTGTAACTAGAGGGATAGTTGGTGTTTAGATTCTGGGAAAATTTCACTTTAAAAACAAACTATGGATAGCTAAAGTAAGCTATCAAAGAATTGCAAATTTTCAAATTTCACAAACAGTAACAGGAAAATTAAGAACATAATCTTCTATCAAATATGGTCAAAACGCCAACAAAAGCAAATTTAAATCGGGGAAAACAAAGGTAAATTCGCCTATCGTATTTCCAGTTTTAAATGCACAAAACTGCATCAAAACTCTTTCAAATCACTTGTAAAACCTACAATATCTTTAAACTTACTTGTGTTGTCTGTTATTCTTTATAAATGTCTTCATTTCTTTAACAATTTGGATTTTTGAATGTATAAAATATATAAATTACAAAACCTCATCTTGTTCGCTTATTGTTGCTATGCTACAGCACTCAGGGAGGTACCAGAGGTGTGTCTTTTGCAAACAAAAACCTTTCCGGTTTGCAAATATGTATAAGATTTAAAAATGAATATAATAAAGTGGAAATTCGTGTCGTGCAATTTTGGACTGAAATCAAACTTGTGATTACAAATCGCACTCCTGCTTCACGGTCATGCGATTTTGTAATCACATGTTTGATTTCAGTCCAAATTGCACTCCACTCAGTTCAATTACCATTATATATGTCCATTTAAAGCAAGTTACCGGGGATGTTGTCTGTGCTAAAATGTCAATGTCCTGCTAGAGCTGGTGGCCATTGTAAACATGTTGCTGCAATTTTATTCCAGGTGTTAGACTTTTGTGAACTACAATTGTCAGAGGTGCCTGATGAAAAAACATGTAATGAGAAACTACAACATTGGCATGTTCCCCAAAAAAGTCAATCTCAAAAAGCAGTTTTGTTTGAGGATTTTCTCTCAAGACAGCTATGAAAAAGATAAAAAAGCAGAAATTGACTGGCTGTGCAAGGAAGGGAGCTGGGTTGCTATACTTCCTTATTTGAAAAGGTGTCAAAAAGTGATCTTGAAAATTTAAAATTTGGTTTGGAAGAAGCAACTTAGAACTGCTCTTTGGTTGGTCTTCTCACTGATAATCAGTGCATCCCATCTAAATACAATGAAAACAAATTGACATCTAGAAAGCAACGTTTTGCAGTAAGTGATTCAAAGTCGAAATGTGAAATCACAGATGTACGAGATGTATCATTTCACAATTGACTGAAAAAACTGACTATTTACATGTACCTGACAATGAACAATCTAATGCATTTATACATGAGAAACTTGTTATTGATAATACAGCGTGTCTGAAATTGAGAAAAACACACAGGCACAGAGCAAAAGTACAGAATGGCACAATCAGCACAAATCATGTCTGACTTCATTGTTGTTTGGCCACGTTATTAAAAAAGGAAAAGCATATACCCTAAAAGTTTAGTAAATAAAATTGTCACATGAACCAAATTTACAAATGAAAGTTGCAAATGGTGTGAAAAGAAATATTTATCATAGAACAGTAATGCATGCTCATAGTAATAATGTATAAAAGAGAGAGCAGTTTTAATAAATGTGTCTTAATCTACTGTACTTAAATGTGTGTGCTAATATAAAATGGGATGTTTAACATGGTGTCTAGTCAAATGAGCCTGAGAGAAACATGGCGAACCAGAAACTAGTGAAATGTTGACCAATTGCTCACCGAAAACGACCTACTGAGTTTGACTTCGACGTTTCAAATGTTGTGCACTGATGATGGAAATGATGGCAAGAAGAGGTAGAGCTGTATATGGAATTGGCTATGGTTGGAAAGAAGAAAAAGACAATAGTTATACTCTTTCTGTACATTGTTAGAAGTCAAGGTCAAGAAATATACAAGACATTATCGTTTGATCAAGAACTGAAGAGCGGAGCTTTAAAAACATTGTTGAAGCATTCTCAAACTATTGTGAACCGAAGAAAAACGAGATGGTAGAGATACAAGTTCTTTACAAGAGTGCAAGAAGCAAGGAGAAACATTGGATAAGTTTATCACAGATGTGAAAATTCTGGCTGCAATGCAACTCTGAACAGCTTAAAGAATTGTTGATTCGAGACCGAATAATTTGTGGCATGAATGACTCGAAGCTGCGACAGGACTTGTTGAAAATACCTGAACTGAGCCTCGATAAATGCATAGAAAATTGTCACACAGCTGAGCTATCAAAAGAATGAAGTAAAGAGAATGAAGACAACGGTCAATGCTGGACAGGGCGGTAAGCAAAATAGAAGCCGAAAGATAAGAGGCAAATATAATTCTAAACAGTTCAACAATGCCATAGGCATAGAAAGGAAATGCAAATATTGTGGGGTATGCATGAATGGAACAAAACAAAGTGCCCTGCATATGGGGAAAGAAAGCTGAAAGTGCCGTAAATTAAATCATTTTGAGCCTAATTACAGTCAGATGTTACAAAGAACAAAAACATTGCTCCCAGTGACAGCAAAGTTGTTGGCACCAAGAGTTGTAGAAACTCATTATCAAGAAATTGTGAAAGGACAAGAATGCCAAGCAAAGTATTATAACAGAGGAACAAAAAATCTGCCTCGTTTAAGGAAAGAAGACAAAGTAAGAATTCAAGATCACAGACAAGGTCTTAAGAAAAGCCTGTCAGTCAAAGCAATTGTGAAAGCAGAAGTTGATATTAGATCATATGAAGTTGAAACACAAGACGGATGAGTTCTGAGATGAAATCGAAGTCACCTCAGAAAAACAACAGAAGATGAAGTTAATGAGACAACTGAAGAAAGGCAGTCAAAACAAGCGGTAGATTGTCAAAGAACAAAAAGTAGAAATATAAACACGTTCAGGGCAGTTAGAAAATAGACCTGCATATTTGAAAGACCTGTATTCTAAAAGCTCACTCACACTCAATGAGTGGAGGTTCAATGTGAGCTTCTCTTGAGTGTTAATGCTGTTTTTGAATAGCTGGAGAGCTAGGGTCATACCTTACTCTGTGACTACTCACCCTCCAACTATTCAAAAACAGCATTGAAACTCAAGAGAAGCTCAGATTGAACCTCCACTCATTGAGTGTGAGTGAGCTTTTAGAATATGGGCATTACTAGTCAGCCCCTAGTATTCTGATTTATTAAATGAGGGCTATAATTTTTTGGGAAATATCTAACCCTCACAGTGTGTAATAGATAGTTTTGGTCATGCAGTTACCATGGTCGTGATGGTCATTGTTCACGAGATAAACCATCTTGTACCGCAGTATTAACGGCGCTACCTTGAAGCATAACAGATCGATATTTGTCTTTCATGGGTGCAAGCATTAGTATAAAAGTACTATATGTAGCACATGTTGTGCCATTGCGCGACTTTAATTTTCGGTGGCTTAGCAAAGCGAGATAATCCCACTTGATAATGATGTTAACAGGATATTAAATTCCTATACCATCAATTATCGATTAATTATACTCTGACACATTCTGTCCACACGTCACGATGGCATATGTTTTACAGATGTTCATTTTCCTTCTCCATTCATTACAAGGCAGAAAACTGGAGGTGCATATGCGTGTCTGTGCTTTTCACTACCTTATTATAGGAAATTAACGATGCACTTTATTAACACAGATTTTAAAAATTTGTGTTAATTTAATTAGTGTTAATTTATGTTATCGTTAATTTCAAGCATGTAAATTTTAGTTATCGTTAATTAAAAAGACCTTGATTTGCTTTATATAACACAAACTCTTTTAACTCGTATTAAAGTGGCACTATCATCAAAATTTTTATTTTCTTAAACAAAAATCCTCTTAAAACTGTATAGTAACATGTTTTGAAGATTTTTGTTCCATTGCTTAGTTCTTGAGATATTTCATTTTGTTTGTAACCATGTTACGTCATTTACTCAATTACATATATAATGAGGTATCAGTAATTGTTGTGTATTTTTGCTATTTTTCATCAACATCTTTCGAAAGATGTGGCGCGTTTGTTAGTTACCTACATAATTAAGCATACTGTTTTTTTAACAAACCCATCAAAAATAGTAAAAATACACAACAATTACTGATATCTCTTTATATATGTAATTGAGTAAATGACGTCACATGGTTACAAACAAAATGAAATATCTCAAGAACTAAGCATGGGAACAAAAATCTTCAAAACAAGTTATTATACATTTTCGTTTAAGAAAATAAAAAATTTGATAACAGTGCCACTTTAAACCTCCAAACAAAACATGAGTCCACCTCTTCACTGTCAGAAACTACATATTTATATACATTGGTGCATAACTTTCAACGTTACAGTTTGATATATCTACTCGCGTACTGTTTTAATTGGTAGTATATAATATTAAACTTTTACTGTTGTGTTTATATTCTTCGACTTGCGTTAGTTAAATTAACTTGTTAACCATAAACTGTCACATTCACGTTAATTCAATCAGTTTTAGAAGTACCTGAAAGCAATTCACGTTAATTAGATGACTCGTTAATTTATGTCGCGTTAATAAAGTGCATTGTTAATTTCCTATAATAAGGTATATTTGTATGATATAGTGGGTATTTGTGGTATTTTATATTACGGGTCAGAGCAGTGTACTTTAACTCATTAACTGGCAATGTGCCCGGATGCGCCCTGAGATTGGCAAGTGGGTAACTGGCAATGCGCCCGCATATGCCCTCAAGTGACATCTCAACTTGCGGGCATGATATTTGAGCACGTGTTTATCGGGTTGCCTAGCAACGGATACGAAAATAGAACGCGAAATTCGAGCTTTTCAACAGTGTATCATGCAAGAAAACCGGCCAAAAACTAGCGAAGTTTTTCAAGTTTAAAATCTTAGTTTTTCAAAAATAATGAATAATGGCGATATTGTTGCAAAGAAGGATTTCACAGCAAGTTTTAAAAGAGAAAAAAGAAAAGGTTTTTGAATGATCTACAATGAAAATTTGGTATGAAAGGAAAGCGAATGTATTGACGTTTTGGGCCAAGTTCTTCTGTGAACCATGCGCGAGATTTTTAGCCAAAAAGATGAGGATTTCTCCAAACTTTATTAAAAATAGAAGTCGGAAATCACAAGAAAGATGAGCACGGAACTCAAGTGAGCAAATTCGACCGCATTAATGTTGGTTGAATCTAGTTTAAAGTTATCTTTTTAGACAAACTGTTTATGCAAATTTGGGTGCAATTTCGACTGTTTTCGTGACCCCATTGTTGGTCTTCTTGTTCAAGTTGTTATTTTAGCTAAAGTATATTTCAAACGACACTTACTGTGTGCGTACATGACCTTTTTGACCTTTTTGGCAAGAATACTTAAGTACACGAGTATTAAATTACACTAAATAAGTAGGATATTCCAAAATCACTGTTATATCTATTTTCATCAATTTAGTCTTAAAATGGCAACTTGTTTCAGATGTATTGTGGTTTAAAATAAGTGTACTGAATAAACGCGCTTGCTTGCCGCGTGTGAATTCTCAAAAAGTCCGCACTTGAGGTGTAAAGCTTTCAAAATGCATTTTTACTGTTTTTTATATCCCCTATAAAACTTTAAATCGATAAATAAATTTGAAGCAATCAAAAAACTTTAAAGATGTACAAACACTGTATTTTGGCTTGCACACTTTGTTGAACTTGAACACTTAGTTACTGTTCTAAATTTCATGTTGTAACCAAGATGCCCCAAAAAAGCAAAGAAGTAATTTTTAAATTTTTTGATAATTTCGTAATTCATATCCTAAAAGATGAAAATTGGTTGTAATATAGATATGTATTAATTTAGTAAATGAATTTTTTTTGTTTATATAAATTTATGGAGATATTGCTCCTTTTGGTGATGAGTGACATGAAAAACAAAGTGTCACTGCTTTATAAATAAAAATACTGACTGAAAAAAACTAATTATATATATATAGGTATGCAAGGTCATCTAAACTAAATTTGGTCAATCGTATATCATTCATGTTTGATTGAAAAGATCAGACTTTTTTATGCAATTGTTTCTGAGATATTGCCATTTTGGTGAAAGCTTGGAATTCAATCATGAATCCGCCATATTGCTTGCCACTTTAGGGGGGTGGTAACATTGTAACAGCTTGCCAGTTAATGAGTTAACTGTTTTTGTATGATCTTTCTCTAAATGAACGCATTCAGATGGCCGATAACACGCATTGCCCAATTGTACCATCGCAGCATTATAGGGATTTTCAATTTATGGCACGTTGTATGCCACCATGATTACCTGCTGCTGTTTCTTATGTTGTATGTATGTTACCATGACTATGTTTGTATGTATGTTATCATGACTAAGTTTGTACTTATGTTATCATGAATGTGCTAACAATAGCATATTGTGCTATTGCTATTTGGGTGTATTAGCTTCATATTATAGCAATATTCCCATTGTTACCGTTTCATGCATGTTCATGAAGTAATTTCATGTTTTATTGGCATCTTTTTATGGCATTTATATACACGATTGTTATAACTTTGTGCTGTTTTGAACATTATGGTTCAGATGTGTATGTTGTGCATATATATATATATATATATATATATATATATATATATATATATAAATGGGGTTAATATATATTTATATATATAAACCGTATTGCCTGGATTCTGCTTGTCCCTTTGCTAATATGCCTCGTTTAACGATAGAACAATGAGTGTGGGTTTGCATAGAATATGCAAGGGGTTAGCAATGCTCAAGAAGTCATACAACAATGGGTAATTTATTGGGATAACATTCCTGCTCCAAGTTAAAAAACCCCAGTTATTAAAACATTTAGAAAGTTTGAGCAAGAGGGTTCTTGGCATAATCTCAATCAAGGACGGAGGGGTCGAACAAGGACGGAGCAGTCGAACAGCTGAAAACATCGAATTATTTCAACGATCCCTTACAGAAAATGGTCAACGATCTGCTTGGCAAAATGGTTTGGGATTAAGCCATCGCACATTTCAGCAAATTGTTCAATTGGATCTCAATTTCCACCCGTACATACACCCCTAGGAAATTAGGGGCCATATTTCCTAGAAAACATAGTTTACTTTATCACTATAAGCTCGGAAATCGTGAAGCTTCTTCTAAAACCAAGATCCTAAAAGTGTTTGTCAGTATTTATAGTTAGTTTGCATCATTTATTTGTGTCGAAATTCTTCATTGCGGCCAAGAGCTAAAAGTTTGAAGGAAAGCGTAATAATAATAATGTGCTGGTGCAGTCATCCCACATGGGTATCTGTTGAGGACAACGTTAATGCATGTTGGCTTAGCTTTAAGGTAAGAACACGAAACGATTTTTAGAGATAGGCATTTCTAAGATATTACAAGTTATTTAGATCTATAAATTCAGTCACATACATAGTATAAAATTAGTCAGAATAACAGCCGCACTTTAGTAAACAATGACATTGTGCGTTGCGAATATGTTAATATGCACGCCTCTAATAAATAACAGGGAGTAATTAGCGTTGTTCGAAAAACAAAATCAAATGAGTGGTTACTTCGTAAAAAAACATTTTCCTATGCATTTTACTTACATATACACAGTATATATAATTGCTCATATGGCTGGGATGCATTACAGAAGCATTCCGTAAAAACGAAAGTAGACTACATGCTTCATGGCTCACAAAAACATTCCGCACACACAAAAGCACAAAGGTTTGAATGACGTTCTGTTTCCATAGCTTAATGATACAGCCATTATTTATTAACATTGTCTTCTACAAAGCTGGTCAAAACCAAATGCGAAAAGCACGCTAAACTTTAGCTCTTGGCCTAATTCTCGTCAGTATTGCAATTCAATGGAGAATTTTGACACAAAAAATTATGCAAACTGACTATAAATGTTGAGAAAAATTTCTAGAAATTTGTTTTAGTAGAAGCTTCACGATTTTCCAGCCTAAAGATAAAACAAACTATAATTTTTTAAGGGGGCCAAATTTCCGAACAGGGGGCCATATTTCCTAGCAAATTTGGCCCGGGGGGAGCCAAATTGGAGCCAAATTTAGGAAATTTGGCCCGGGGGGGAAATTTTCAGGGGGGGATTTCCTGTGACACCGGCCCAACATTTGGCATTCTGTAATCAATTTGTAAATACCATTGAGCAAAACCCTGGTTTCCTGGATCAGTTAATAGTATCAGACGAAACAATTTTCAGCTTAAATTCGAACATAAACACAAGGAATGTCAGGAAATATGCAGCTCATGGTTATTGGCCTTGGCCTCCCCACTCTCCTGATCTCACAGTGTGTGATTTTTTCCTTTGGGGGTATTTAAAACACAGGATTTGGAGTGCCACATGATGAGCAACTGAACAATTTGAGACAACTTCGTGAAGCAATTGTTACCGAATGCCGCAACATCGACCAGCAAATAATCCAACGTTCATTCGATTGCATGGTCACACCATAGGAAGCCCAAACAAGCGGGTTTTATTCAATAAAATCCGTAATTAAAACGTTAATTAGCAATAAAATTGCTGTTAGAATCGTGCACGTAGCGTGCTCCGGTCGCGCTGTGATTTGACTATATAATGATTAGTGACGTATCCTACTATGTTATTGGGAAGGACGGAAAGTATTCCTCATTTGTCTATATATTGACAAATTTAAATGACAAATTACTGTAGGAAAACGGCACGTTAACTGCTAAATGTCTATCGTAGGTTTAAGTTGAATAATCAAACTATATTAATATCATAAAATTAGTGTGGAATCTAAAGGAAAGCACTGGAAAAAACGTGCAAAAGTTTCGTAAACTTACCGAAATATTCGTGAATATATGCGGGATGTAAGTACATACCCAAAATGGCGGCGACAGACGATGCTGATTGGTCGAGAAAAGTAAACAAAGTACAAGAGATTTTGACAAAACCGGGGGGGAGAGAAAGCACGTATTTTTTTGAGAGCAAGAGCGGGAAAATAAAAAATACGAAAAATTGTAAATAATATTACGAAAAAGATTTTTTATTTCATTATAAATTCAAAAATATTGACGAAGGCTATCAGTATGTGAAGAAACAAAAGAACAAGACTTTTATCAGGTACAAATATATATTTTTTACGCAAGTTGCTGCAACGTTTTCACGAAAGCATATATATTAAAGTATATTCCTACACTTATAATAGTTTTATACCGGCGAACGGCCGTCAAAAAATGGCAAAGCAAAACCAGGAAAATACGTACAAAAGGAACGTCAACAATTTCTTATGGTTAGTTCATAACTTTGTTTGTATGACTATGAATTATACATTATAATTTATAAATTAAAGCCCCCCAGTCGCGTTTCATACTAGTGCCAAAAACCGAGGCAAAGTGATAAATATGGCCTTTATTTTACTTTTATTTGGCAAAAAACTGTGAGATGAAAGGTTTCCCATATATTTTAGGTCAACTTTGATGAGAAAATTATAGTTTAAAAACACCTACCTTGAGATATTAGTTGAGTAAAGTATTCGCATGTCCGTTTTCATCAACATTGTCCACTCAAATAGGTTTTGCGAGTTAATGCCTCGAATATAATCACACATAAATGCCCAATTTGCAAACATACACACAGTTTTTAGATTAAAACACAACCCGTTTTGGCGTTTCCTAGTTTTCTGCAGTCTACGTGACTTGTTGCACGAATTCATATGCTTCGACTCTACGACGATTTGAGAACACTTTCAAAAAATTGATTCAGCAAATCCAGAAACTCCTCTGACGTCCAAAAGCTAAGAAAACGTTGAAAAACACTCCATATATCTGTATACATCTCAATTTAAACTGTTTCGATGCATTCTGAAATGAGAAAAATAACCGAAAATGTTGCCTTCGAATTCGAAAACAAGCTACAAGCGCCAAAAATCAACACTTAAAAAAACAGAAAAAATCAGTTGCAGAATACCAAGACCAAACTAAAAACTTGTTAATAACACTGTTACCTGTCGAAAATGTGTTTAAACGGTTGAATTGTTTACCCAAAACCAATGCCAAAGAGACTTTTCGTTTAAAAAACGATAAAAAAACTCCCCTTTCTTAGATCACTACATTCTGCCATACCACGCATGCTTGAATGTAGTTTAATTATTCCATGACACACGTGACATGTTCTTACGTACGTCAGTATAAATTATGTGAGGTCAATATGGTCATAATTATATTAACCTGAGTATCAGGCTCTATTTTACAAATAGAGCCTGACACAAAACTTAACCTGATCGCTTTCCGCCCACAGCAAAGTTTATATTTAGTATCCAATCAAAATGTCGCAGGAGAAATTTAAATTTCACACAACGACAACAGCAATCTAATTATAGCATAGGCGCCCACTAAACGGCTGAATTTAAATTAAAACTGCAATGAACTTATAAAATTAACAAAAATCGTTTGTCTAATCGGCCAATCAGCGCTCAGTCCAGATTCTGGACTGAACAACCAGGCAAAATGCCACTTTTGTGTCAGGCCGTACTTTTCTCCCCTTCGCCCACGATCAGGCGTGCCTGTGCCCTAAAAAGTACGGCCTGATACTCAGGTTATAATTATATCAAAAGGGTGGGACCGTCGGGCAAATGCTAAGCGTTTATTTTAGCATATTATTTTAAACGATTAACTGAAGATATTTAAATTACAGTTATATGCACAAATGGATAGTGAATCGATAAAGCTAACAGGCGAACAGCAAAGGGCCGTAGACGCAGCTTTAAGTGGACACAATGTCTGTATATTCGGTCGGGCAGGAGTTGGTAAAACAACGGTGGTGGAAACGATAAGGAAAGTTTTAACTTCTGCAGGAAAAAGGTGCCAGATCGTGTGTTCCAGCGGAATTGCATGTGACGCCTATGATGGGTTTGCGAGCACGGACTCCCACTATGTGTTGCAAACTGCGGAGTTACCTTGCCCTTTATTACTGGAACGATCGCTGTCAAGAAATAATGTTGTCGAACAAATACGCGATGTTGATGTTCTCGTGTGGGATGAAATTTCAATGTCAAGCATGCGAGTTTTCGAACTTGTCAATGCCATACACCATAGATTGTCCAACAACGCTAATGGGTTTGGAGGTATGCAGGTCCTGTTGGTTGGCGATTTTTGGCAACTTAAACATGTGGGAAGCCTGCTAGATCCTGGAAAATCTATCTATGATTCCGAGCTTTTTGATGCCGTATTCCCTCACAAAATAGAGCTTCAAACTATCCTGAGGCAGCAAGCATCGGAAGTTGAGTTACGAAAGGCCCTTGACCAGTTGCGCGAAGGAAATTGTAACGAAGAAACGGCGACATACTGGAAGAGTTTGAGCAGAAACCTAGATAACAATGATGCTGCGGAACATCCGTTACATATTTATTTTAGAAAGTTGCCAGCCGAAATGCATAACCTCGATGTTCTGTCAACATTTCCTGGAACGCTTTTGACATTTGAAAGCAGAGATAGTGGCCATTCCCAGTTATTGGACTGTCCGTCGCAGAAAACTTTGACCCTCAAGCCAGGATGCAAAATAATGCTTCTCTATAACATCAATAAATATCTGAAAAATGGTTACCAGGGAACTTTTCTTAGCGTAGATGCTGAAAATGACGAACAACTACTTGTCACGTTTCCAAATGTAGGAACAGTGAAAGTCGGGCGCAAGACGTGGTACAAGTATGACACTCGAGGTTGTGTATTGGCTACTCGAACACAGTTTCCCATCACGCCTTGTTATGCTATGACCGTGCACAAAGCGCAGGGACTAACGTTGAATAGAGTTATTGTCCACTGTTCTCAAGAGTTTGTCCCCAATCAAACCTACGTTGCATTGTCACGGGTGAGAAACGAAGCAGGTCTTCAAGTAATTAATTTCCAGCCACGATTCCTACTCCCTTTGCCAGAAAAACTAAAGACTGGGAACATTACAAATGACAGTTGTGACAAGCTCTTTGAAGGCCAAGTCGATGGATTTCAATGTTGCAGAAGCAAGACATTAGAGGATGGCATGCTAAATGCCGTTCAAGAAACTCATTTCTCACATCCAGACGTTAGTAATGAATGGACGGACGAAAATGATGGCGAAGTGATGGCAAAGCAGTTGTTCGAGTCAAATACTGGGGCTAAAGTCAATCTCGAGAACGTACTATTATTCATGATGTGTGATTTCCAGCAAAGTTTAAATATGCTGCCGAAGCGTTTCTCAGTAAAGGACTTTCTAGAAAGTATCATAAATGATGAGCATGGTGATTCATACACTTCGTTTATTAAATCTGCAGCAAATTACGCCCTTGCTCATTTAGAAGTATTTCACTTGCTGGCGCATATCATTTGGTGCAGGGTCTTTGCATTATTTGAAGCATATTTGTCGGAAAACGGAGACAAGGTTCATATGACCAACACCAACTTCACCTACGCGACGGCTAAATTGCACCAGCTTTTTCTTTCGAATGAATATCGAAGTGATGTTATAAGTGCCTTTTCGGAAAGTTCGTGGTCAGAATTAAACGATGGGCAAAGGACACTGGGCGCGCAGTTGGCTTTCCACCTCTTTCAATTATTCGCCAATGAGCTGAGCAGCTTGGTACGCAAGAAAGAAGCTGGTCCGATTCCATTTAATGTAAGCGATATGGGTCCTGATGGAAGAGGGAAGATACGATATATCGGTGGTTGGGCTGTACGAAAAGCACTCCAAAAATTTCGAAGGTATGTATTTTCAATGTTAAATGCCCTTTTTCGACGGGTAATTTCTAAGGCCCCGTTTACATGAGACTGGGGACGAGGATGTTTACTAAATGTTTACATGAGACTGGTACGAAAATCGCAAAAGTTTCAATTGAGACCGGTCTGAGTTATTTTCGTCCCGGTCTCATGCATGTAAACATCTATTATAAATAATACTATGAACGAAACGAAATGGTCCCGTCTCATGTAAATGGGGCCTAATTTATCACCAATTTGTTGAAATATCGTGTGTATTTATCATCTCACCTGAAATCTACTATATTTTTTCAGGTACCTCCTTGAAAACAAAGTATCGCAAACACCGCATGTGAGAAGAAAGCTAAAGGAAGAACTTGAAAAGATTGAATTGCTTCAAGAAAATATCATTGTTCCTTACGAAACCTTGCAAAACACCTCTTCCAGCTTGGAGTCCACATCCATCACAGAATCGTTACAATATCGGGAAAGGGGTCTGCTTCACATCAGTGATGAAACTTACAAATTTTTTCTATCTCTGGAACAAGCTAGAGTAGAAAAAATTAATTTGGAAAAGTTACGTTCCTGCCAAACTGATATGGTGAACAACGCATTGAAAGAAGTCTGGGAAGATAAAGATCTTCAAGAGAAGTTTGATCAATTGTTTAATGTTGCAGGAAATTCTGTAAGTTTGGAGATATATACAGGTTATAGTCATGCGTGCAGTATAATTCAAAATAAATATTCGGCGCACAACGGAATACAGGTTATTAGATATTGTTTTGCTTACAAACTTTAATTTGCAAAAAATTCTTATCTTACAGATTTTAATTAAAGAAATCTACAAGGAAGTTACTACACGCTACTTCAGAATGGGTGCAGGCCAGTTTCTGCGAGATTTTCGCAGGGACTATCACGTCAAAAAGTCGCTAGCACATAGGAAAGCCTTGATGGTAAGAAAAGAAAAGATGCGAAAGCGGCAGATGAAAGTGAACTTAGCGAACATAAGCCAGGATAAGAGCCCAGGGAAGAAAGTTTCGCACACCAAATTGGTAGCACTTGTAGATGAGCTGAATGTGCAAGGATTGGTTTCCCTTTACAAGAAAAAAGAGTTGCAATTTTTATGCAACGCATATGCTTGTAGATTCTTATCCAAGTGGAATAAGAAAGAATTGGCTTCTTCGCTGTTCGAAGCAATCCATAAGCATAACTATATACCTTGCCACCAGGAAACCTCTAACTATTCTGTCCATGTCGTTGGCGATGTGGAAGACGCAAACCGAGTACCTGTGTTACGGTTACTTCGACTTTAACTTTAAGTATTAATTAATGTGTTTCATTATATACAAGGTCAAGGAGCATAAAAAAGGTAATCAAACTTCAACAGGCTGTAGTTTAAATTTTATTCCACTCCAGGGTCTTTGGAATTAATTTTGTCAACGTTGGAAGAATGAGATTTCAGGCGACCGGCAATCTTTAGCATACGATTATTAATTTGGTCATTTCATATATCCATAATCATATAAGAATGCTAAAGTCTTTTTTTCTTGCAATGTAAAAATTAAATCATATAATTGAATCTTCGAGAAACAATAGCTAGCCTGGTGAATTTCGATTTCCTTTTTTAAAACACCCTGTAGAATAACTTATTATACTATATTGATGTTATACTTTATTGACGATTAATTCATTAACTTTGGAAAAGTAGTCCAGTTTGTGCAGTTCTGTTCTTATTTTTGCCCTTCTTCCCAAACACTTTATCCTTAGGCAATTGCACAAAAGAATTATTCTTTGTACATCCCGTGTTGCACTTTAGACTTAATGTTGCTTGACCAAATATCACTGAGTTTTGGGTTGCTTGCACCAGTTGGTACGACGGGTTGTCGTTTTGCCATTTGCGCCTCGTAACTGCGAAAAGTGGTTCTCTAACACATCTTGGTTCAATATAGCTGGTTTAATGAGTGAACCTGGAAAACGGTTCAACTTGGTCCTTACCAAGGAAATGAAACCGAGGATCATCGATTGGATATCAAACCACAGTTTATGCGATATGAACTCGTTCTCAGTCGATATATTTTCCTTCCAGTTAGAGAAATACTGCATGACTCCCCATAGCTTTGAAAGTCGGTCATCGTTTATGTCGTAGATGACTTGTTTGTCTGAGAACAACTCAACAATAAAACTCGTATGTCGAAGAAATTGTATGGTAGCACTCAGTTTTTGTGATGACGAGTCTCCTATACACGCGAGATGATCTTGGTAAGCCTAAAAGGATATTTTTAAGTTATCAGCAACCTTTGCATATGGCATGGAATGCATGGTTATGGTTTTGCCAGTGACATGCATGAGTGCATAACGCTTGATTTATACAGCAAATTCAATTAGCCTTTCTCACGCCACCAATTTTTGGGGGATTTCCAAATCTGAGATTGTACGCAGTGAATAAGGGACTTGTATAACTATAATTGTGAGTATAATCATTATAAGCTAATTTACAGTTAAATATTTGAAAAATATTTTCACATCGCTTTAATTTTTTATGTACCAAAAAACATGGCGAATTTGGCCTTCGTGAGAAAGGCTAATTAAGGTTATCCTTCTAAAAACATAACGTAAGCCTGTAACTATGATCGTTTAGGTTTTTGGATGAATACATCTTTAATTGAATTAGCTGCATATAAATAATGTTAAAGTGCCTGCATGGCAGAGACAGACCTTCATGAGAATTAACATTTTCCTATCTAAAACATCTTCTGCCAAACTATTACGCATTCTTGAGCTCGGATTCAGTTGGAAATGATCCTCTGTTAGCTTTTGGTGAATATGGCAGGAATTTTCGTTTTGGTCCCACATGTATGCCTCTTTCCAGTAAGACCAGAATATAGATTGGCCATTTACGGTCAGCATCCTTGTTGACCCATGAGCAGAGCTCTTTTCCACGTTGTTGCGAATCTTCTTGACGTTATGCTATGAAGATAATAGTAAACATTAAACAAATAAACCTATAATACTATTGCAATGCTAACAGGTAATACCGGTGTCTCAGTTGATAGATAACCAGGGAAAACATACTGCCTATGCAAAAGGTGAAGAATAGCAGTGTTTTAATACCTTTGGATCCATCATTAATACCATCGGATCCTCTGTCAGCATGTTATAAGCAATAAAGTGAAGATCCACCGGACTGCAATTATCGAAATGGATCTTAATAAATTGCCTATTTGATTCGCCTCCATCACAAATTAAAAAATGAATGCTATATAAACAAATGAAAGGATTCATTGAATTTTGCTGAAATGTTACAGTCCATTTTCGTTAGATTACTCTGTAAACGGTGATCTCTTTAAAACTGAAATAATACAAACCTGAATCCTGCTTTCTTCATCTGGAGTACACCCTCCCAAAATTGAAGATAAAGGACCGACGGAGGGCATTCTGCCGTTGGAAAGTGCGCCAAAGGAAAGCGGAATCCGCCGCCACTTAAAAATTCAAATTGTAGCAGATGCGATGCTAGTTGGATGTCGGCCGAATCAGTTCCTAGAAAGTAGAAAACTCTGTAATATATTCTTCTGAAGTGATCTGTATCTGATCATATTTAATATTTTGTTTGTTTAGTCCATACAAAACATCAGCTTATGCGGACATGCAGTCGGTTTTCCCCACAAAATAATTTCCACTAAATCACTGTGCATGCATGCTACTTTATGAGATATAAAATTAGAAATAAGACAAAGCATTGTTAGTAATTTTCCGAATAGGCCTATTATGTATCTGAAAACGTTCCACCCACAAACGGTATTCTATTCAGTATTAATCAAAATATACCTCTCTTAATCTTCTCCATGTCGTTGTTATATTGTCCAAGTGAAACTATACCAGTGAGCTGGTGACGTCCTGCCTTTACTGTCATTTGCAAATCTTCCTATATAAGTCAGGAGTATACAGTCAATTGACAATACAGACGTTTATTATTTTTAATAATCTGTCATAACCAGCTATTCCGTAGCCCACGGTGTAGACCCCAGTGTTTCTGCTGGGGTCTACACCGTAGGCTAGCTATTCCGCCAATGCCCTCTTGCCGATCCTTATTAATGACGTACTCGTCAATTACTTACTTGTATTTTCATTTCGTCTATTATAAAACCACCCCAGTAGTCTTGTGGTTTAAAACTCTGTCTTTCGCACACCAATCGATTACATCATTATTCCATCCAGGGTCTTGACACACGGAATTCTTGTAATACCTTTAAAGCAGCATAATTTCTTTACACTCTAAATCGAGTATCCATTATTTCAACGACACTGTTTGAACATACCTGATCAGGCGATTACTTGGTAAAATGATAAATTCTCTCATTGTATCCAATGCCTTTGGATTTTTGCAATACAGATCTAATGCCAACCTCACTATCCTTGAAATTAAATAACACGTCGATTATAACATGAGTTAAATAATTAACATAAATTCTTAAATTTAAGCTCTACAGAAACGTAACAATTTCATAGAGAACGTACTAGGTTGCATAAACCTTTTTGACTATAAAATGTTTGTTACCTTGGGTCCCAACGGTAACCTCTTGGAGATTGTGCCAACAGCTGCTTCTTCTGCATCTCCCACATTATTTGCATTTGAGGTGGTATCTCATTTTCATTTATCGACTCAAAAATTTTCGCCAGATCCAAACTATCTTCCTCCATGAACTTCAGACTGGGGTCAACTTTCATACGTGTCTCCTTATTCTCTTTCTTTATTTCCTTCCTTTGATAAGCAATTCTCTCTTCCAATCCCAGTCGATCTAGATAACGAATATTACACTTCGCGGGACGGGTACAGCTTGCGTTTGATGTTTTCCGTTTTCTTGCTCTGTTGTTGAATAAATTGATGATGTATGAGCAGGATGGACACGACTTTCCATTGAATTTGAGAAGAAGACAGGAGTTCGAAATTAGTCTTAGGTGTTCTTCGCGATCTTTCGTAACAACTGCGAGTACACTGGAGCCGCAAACCGGAATCTTAAGATGTCCTGACGTTTCCTCTTTTGATACTTCCCGGCCAATGCATGGTGACGCTCGTTGAAAAAGATGAATTGCTTCCTCAATTGCCTGAATTGCGCAATCCATCATTTCCAAACCCTTTATTTGTTGTAATGCAACGTCATGTCCGTATGTTTGCAATTTGATTGCGGGTTGAGAATTCATGTTCACCATAATAGCAAAAGCAAGAGGACGGCCATCAATAACAACCCCATCACAGCCGCTGGAAGAATCCGGAAATTTCCTTAGTGTAACGAAACTTTTTTCAATACAAGATGTGTCAAGAAACCAACAGGAGTGCTTTTTGCAAAGAGCCTGGAGTTCTTTTAAGGTTTCGTCATCAAGATTGGTGATCTTCCGATTGAATCTTCCAGTGGAGTTTCTTTCTTGTAGGTGCTTATAAACACTTAATCCCCGATGATCATACGCCACTTTTGCCCCCCCCCCCAGATTGATTGGAAAATCTTTCCCAACGAATTGGAGTTCAAATCTAACCCAGCTTTATGCGCGCTTTCCAATATCGCTTTAGACTGTACGATCGAACTTTCTGACTGAATATATTCATAATTAGAAATAACCCAAAAACAGAAGGAATGAAATTTGTTCAAAGTTTGTTTCATGACAACCATAAAATTTAATTTACCATCTTAGACGTATTGCTTATAACTAATTAATTTAATAAATATCGCTCAACCATTCCAAAACGCTTAGCATTTGCCCGACGGTTCCACCCTTTTGATATAATTATGACCATATTGACCTCACATAATTTATACTGACGTACGTAAGAACATGTCACGTGTGTCATGGAATAATTAAACTACATTCAAGCATGCGTGGTATATAGCAGAATGTAGTTATCTAAGAAAGGGGACAGTTTTTTGATCGTTTTTTAAACGAAAACTCTCTTTGGCATTGGTTTTAGGTAAACAATTCAACCGTTTAAACACATTTAAACAGGTAATAGTGTTATTAACAAGTTTTTAGTTTGGTCTTGGTATTTTGCAACTTATTTTTTCTGTTTTTTTAAGTGTTGATTTTTCGCGCTTGTAGCTTGTTTTCGAATTTGAAGGCGACATTTTCGGTTATTTTTCTCATTTCAGAATGCATCGAAACAGTTTAAATTGAGATGTATACAGATATATGGAGTGTTTTTCAACGTTTTCTTAGCTTTGGACGTCAGAGGAGTTTCTGGATTTGCTGAATCAATTTTTTGAAAGTGTTCTCAAATCGTCGTAGAGTCGAAGCATATGAATTCGTGCAACAAGTCACGTAGACTGCAGAAAACTCGGAAACGCCAAAATGGGTTGTGTTTTAATCTAAAAACTGTGTGTATGTTGGCAAATTGGGCATTTATGTGTGATTATATTCGAGGCATTAACTCGCAAAACCTATTTGAGTGGACAATGTTGATGAAAACGGACATGCGAATACTTTACTCAACTAATATCTCAAGGTAGGTGTTTTTACACTATAATTTTCTCATCAAAGTTGACCTAAAATATATGGGAAACCTTTCATCTGACAGTTTTTTGCCAAATACTAGTAAAACAAGGCCATATTTATCACTTCCCCCCGGTTTTTGACACTAGTATGAAACGCGACTGGGGGGCTTTAATTATAATGTATAATTCATAGTTATACCAACAAAGTTATGAACTAACCATAAGAAATTGTTGACGTTCCTTTTGTACGTATTTTCCTGGTTTTGTTTTGCCATTTTTTGACGGCCGTTCGCCGGTATAAAACTATTATAAGTGTAGGAATATACTTTAATATACTTTCGTGAAAACGTTGCAGCAACTTGCGTAAAAAATATATATTTGTACCTGATAAAAGTCTTGTTCTTTTGTTTCTTCACATACTGATAGCCTTCGTCAATATTTTTGAATTTATAATGAAATAAAAAATCTTTTTCGTAATATTATTTACAACTTTTGTCTTCTTTATTTTCCCGCTCTTGTTCTCAAAAAATACGTTCTTTCTCTCCCCCCGGTTTTGTCAAAATCTCTCATACTTTGTTTACTTTTCTCGACCAATCAGATTCGTCTGTCTCCGCCATTTTGGGTATGTACTTACATCCCGCATATATTCACGAATATTTCGGTAAGTTTACGAAACTTTTGCACGTTTTTCCAGTGCTTTCCTTTAGATTCCACACTAATTTTATGATATTAATATAGTTTGATTATTCAACTTAAACCTACGATGGACATTTAGCAGTTAACGTGCCGTTTTCCTACAGTAATTTTTCATTTAAATTTGTCAATATATAGACAAATGAGGAATACTTTCCGTCCTTCCCAATAACATAGTAGGATACGTCATCACAGCGCGACCGGAGCACGGCTACGCGTGCACGATTCTAACAGCAATTTTATTGCTAATTAACGTTTTAATTACGGATTTTATTGAATAAAACCCGCTTGTTTGGGCTTCCTATGCTTTTAATTACAAAATTATTTTATTTCCCAACATATGTATGTTAGGTATGTTATTATACGTAATATAAGCATCAATTTAAGGAAAATTCAACCACAAACGCTTCGCAAAACGTTTTAAAATGGCTTTATCGATAAACTTTGAGTTTGCAATAAAATAATTTCAAATTCTCGCTTGCAAATAACTTTGCTTTCTTTTTTAATTAAAAAATTCGATATCATAAAAAAGGGAATATTAAAAATACACTGAACTCATATGCTGTCTTGTTTAGTTGCTTCATATGCGCAAAGGCCGTCGGGTTTTAAAGCCATTATAAATCAATATTTAAAACAAACTTACCTTAGTTAACGTCGGCTCTCTTCTTTTAGCCGATTGTTTCGCAGTTTCTTTCTGACAGAGCTTTTGAAATTTGCAAAATCTTGCAAAAATGCGAGCAAAAATGAAATATATTTGCAAGAAATTTATCAATCATCAAATCAAGAAATGTTTGCAATTCATTATGTTTGCTATTTCGCTGTCGTCATGCAGTCGTTATAATGGAAACTTTAAATTGGATGATCAGTGTCCGCTATTCATGACAGTTCGCCATATTTTTGAGATCAGTGAGGATGACCACCCACCGAAACATCGTTGGTGAGCCAAGCCCGCGATATTTGATGAACTTTAGACTTCGCTAATGCTTTCGTTTCCCCGGGTGTAAATAGCCGGGGGGGGGATTAGTACGGGGATAAACGAACCTTGTATATATATATATATATATCAAGTTGCGATATTAATTGCCCTTACATTATCGGTTTATTTATTGCCGCGGTTAAAGCAGGGCGCTTTGTTTTAAAGAGCCCTGCTTAGTATGTAGTATACTGTGGTTTGTGTAGAAAATAAACAATATATAACTGATTGTATTGCTGGCTGCATGCAAATGCATCAGGACGCAAAGCCACGCTATGGCATATTAGTACATTTAAAACGCAGAATACGCCACGTGGCGTATATATTATATGTGCGTAGAACGCATATTATAGGTTTGATTATATTTAGATTAGAATAGCCTCCTCCGCAGGCATCGCCTTTCGATTATCGGGCAAAATTTCCTTTCTGAAGTAGGTGAACTACGAGATGCCTGCGGATGAGGCTAGGTTTAGAAGTGCTCATATAACAATACTGCCGAGAAGACACGTAGACGTCGTTATAACTTATTCCATAGCGGTTACCTGCATAGATATCTTATATACACTAGATAGCGCATCTCTTTTAGTAAAATTGAAGCCAAGAATATTCCAGCGGTTACCCCCATTTGAATAAATGGCGGCCATGTTGGTCGTTCCCACTTGCTAATAAACGCTTAAAAACAACAATAACTTTCATTATTTGAATAGTTTGAAAACGTATTTGGAATAGAGTTAACTTAATGTTTAAGTTTCCTGTTTAAGAAATAGAAAACATACGAATCTTCTCATTTCATGGGAACGACCTGAGACTGCAATCACGGCTTCAATTTTTGAATTGCAGAATAATTAGATGCACTATCTAGTGTATATAAGATATCTATGGTTACCTGACCTTAATATTGTAATTTTTTTTGTGATTTTTTAACCCTCGACTTTTTAACCCTCGACTTTTAACCCTCGACTTTTAACCCTCGACTTTTAGCCCTCGACATTTTACCCTCGGTTTT